CTCATAAATGTACTTTGAAATGTGGACTGGCAACATATTTTCGACAGTTATTTAGTGTACTTACTTATCGTATACTATTCGCGATTTAATGCCTGTGTTGGATCTTTTAGGGGCATTTATTGCTAATTTTTATTGTTATTTTGTTTGTTTTAAGAGTTTATTTCTACCATGTAAGCATTTTTTTTCTTTATTTCTTTCTTTTTTAAATTGCAGACTTTTGATGTATGTTATAATATTGACACCCAAACAAAAGCAGTGCGACTCAATAATCAGGGATTTTTCAGGTAATGTGACTGCCGCGCCGCAACTGAAAGGCCGACCCAACCATTACTTCACCGTTGGGCTCATCCGCAAAAAGATAGAATTTATTTTTATATTATTATTATTAAAAGTACACTGTTTCTAATATTTACATGATGCGAAATTACCTAATATTCTTTATTACCTATGTTTAATTCTATGTTTCTTTTCCTTATGATAAGTGATCTGGTGGTTCACCTGGTGTTAGGTAATAACCTCCGCCCATGGACATTTGCAACACCCGTGGGTTTGCAGATGTGTTGCCAAATTTTAACGAAGTGGGCCCCGTCTAGCTCATTCAGTATTTTATGAATATGGATATGTGATATGTGATATGTGTAATAAAAAAATATTTTATATTTTTATTCCTTGCGAATGTTTTTTTTATGATGTACATGTGTTAGAATAAGCTTATTTAGGTATATTATTGTGTATTTATATCCCGGGCTGCCCAAGACCGGGATAGTTGGCGCACTTTGGGGGAGGCTTACGTTCAGCAGTGGACGGCAATAGGCTGATATTGTATTGTATTGTATTGTGTTTTTAAAAAGCTCGTGCTACTGAAAAAAAAATACGTTTGCTCATTTTCGTGTGTGATAAACAAATCTTTGTAAATACCCTTTGAAGATGCGGGTGAAGCCTCGGGTAACAACTCTATGGATGTGATGTATTTTTTGGCTTTAAATTTTGTGAGGGGATATTTATACTATGTGTATAGTGAAGATACTATCTTATATCACCAAGTGGTGATATAAGATAGTATCTTCACTATACACATAGTAGGTTGGGGGGGTATTACTATTATATACTGTATTAAAATTTTTTTCTTACTAACTTGGCCGATGTTCACGTAAGTACAATTTTATGTCTTTACCTATCACCAACTAATGCCGATAAATCGGGATATATCACCAAAAATATTTGTTCATAAACTCAGTTCAAAGATTACAAAAGGTGTTTTATTGGGGAAAACAAATCGAATCGAAAACTCTATGAATGAATCCTCAGTATGGCTGAAGAACGGGTTCCGGCTACTTCACTCAGCGGACGAAACGCGAAAGTTTTATTCATACTTCCACTTGACGCCGGTCTTCTGTGAGGTTGTGGTACTTACCCAGACGGGCCTGCTCATTCGTGCAACAGCCGAGGCTGCTGCGTGGCCCTACCACCGTTAAATACTTACTAAAACCGAATCATTAATTACAAAAAAACGGCCAACTTTTATTTGGATTCTCGCGTACAGACGGTTCTGTACTATCTATGAAAACATTAAAAAATCATGTCCGTTGTATGGGAGCCCCACTAAATTATTTTTTATTCTGTTTTTTAATATTTTTTATTATAGCGGCAACAGAAATACATTTTCTGTAAAAACAACTGTCTAGCTATCACGGTTCACGAGATACAGCTTGTTGACAGACAGACAGATGGTGGACTCTTAGTAATGAGGTCCCGTTTTACCCTTTGGTTACCGATCCCTAAAAACTGGTTATCAATTTTTATTAAAAATAGAACTGAACGAATGAACACGACTGATCTTTGATTTTTTCATTTTCCAGTGCCGTACCTTTAATTTCGACGACGAAAAATGATCTCGGCACCATGAAATGTTTGTATATAGGAAACATATTTACGCTTTAAAACAACTTGTCAAATTCAAAAATGCTAATCAATTGCCAAATGATGATTACGACCGCCCATTACAATTTAGGTAAGTGACCCTATCTATCTGCGCTATATGCTAAGGTCTGTTGAAATCCACTATTTGATTGCACGTTTTGCCTAAATATTTAATTTCTTTTTTGATTTGTCTAAATATTTTGTAAAAATCTTTCATTGCCCAAAACATATGTTTTTTTTATGTGAATAGTTACCTAACGAGCAAGCGGTTGACCTGATGCTAAGTGAATACCGCTACCCATGGACATCTGCCACACACGAGGGGTGCAGATGCGTTGACAACCTTTTGAAAATTGAACTCCGGCTGCCTTACGCTCCAGACGAAACGCGAAAGTATTTGTCATACTTCCACTTTACACTGGTCTTCTGTGAGGTTATGGTACTTACCCAGACGGGCCTGCCCATTCGTGCATCAGCCGAGGCTGCTGCGTGGCCCTACCACCGTTAAATACTTACTAAAACCGAATCATTATTTACAAAAAAACGGCCAACTGTGAGATGGACTCGCGTACAGACGGTTCCGTACTATCTATAAAAACGGCAAAAAAAATCATGTCCGTTGTATGGGAGCCCCAATAAAATGTTTTTTATTCTGTTTTTTAATATGTTTTATTATAGCGGCAACAGAAATACATTATCTGTAAAAACCACTGTCTTGCTATCACGGTTCACGAGATACAGCTTGTTGACAGACAGACAGATGGTGGAGTCTTAGTAATGGGTCCCGTTTTACCCTTTGGTTACCGATCCCTAAAAACTGGTTATCAATTTTTATTAAAAATAGAACTGAACGAATGAACACGACTGATATTAATCTTTGATTTTTTCCATTTCCAGTGCCGTGCCTTTAGTTTCGACGACGAAAAAGACCTCGGCACCATGAAATGATTGTATATAGGAAACATATTTACGCTTTAAAACTTGTCAAATTGAAAAATACTTTTGAAACTTGTCAAATTGAAAAATACTAATCAATTGCGAAATGATGATTACGATCAGTACAGTTAAGGTAAGTGACCCTATCTATCTGCGCTATATGCTAAGATGTGTTGAAATCCACTATTTGATTGCACGTTTTGTCTAAATATTTAATTTTTTTTTGATTTGTCTAAATATTTTGTAAAAATCTTTCATTGCCCAAAACATATGTTTTTTTATGTGAAAAGTTGCCAAACAAGCAGGCGGCTCACCAGATGTTAAGTGAATACCGCTACCCATGGACATCTGCCACACCTGAGGGTTGCAGATGCGTTGACAACCTTTTGAAAATTGGGCTCCGGCTACCTCACTCATCAGACGAAACGCGAAAGTATTTGTCATACTTCCCCTTTACGCTGGTCTTCTGTGAGGTCGGGGTACATACCCGGACGAGCCTGCCCATTCGAGCAACAGCCGGGGCTGCTGCGTGGCCCTACCACCGTAAAAATATGTTGGAGTGTCTTCTATGTTCTTTTAATTTAACAAGGTTACACATAAATCATTTAAGTCTAAGAAATATCCAAAATATTAATTCTAATCTATTAAAGTTAAGTCTGAGGCTAACAATATTTGAAAGTGTGTATGGTTAGTATTGAAAACTATTCGATTAACTTCTTTACCGGGTAAATGATTAGTGACAAATGTATGTAGTGAGAAAGGTAGTGTAATAAATTTAGCACAATGATGTATGTAAATGTAAAATTTACCAATTTTGTAACTGTTTCAAAAAACTCATGTACTGTTATAACTAATTAAGTAATTTGTTTAAAAAAATGTAGTTCTTGTAATATGCACTTTTTATAATGTTATATAGTGATTGATATTTATTATGTTTCGTCTAGAAGTATATTATGTATTCTTTATTTCTGCTATAATTAATAAAAAATACAAAAGTAAGTGAATTTCAGGAATAACAATATTTACTTTTATCATTCATTTAAAATATGTAAAATCGAAAAAATGGTGTGTAATTTTTTTTTTGTAATTCACCTCTCACAATAAATATTGACACAATTTTAAGTATTTTTAATTACCAAAAACCCTCATGTTCGAATAGAAACTCTTTCAAAATAAGGGCAAAAAATTATACGAATACTTTATGATGTGTATATACTAAACAAAATTTATAATCCATTTATAACTGTTTTGCAGTACTAGTTAATTTAACAATGATTTGATCAATCAATTTCTCCATGATAGCTCAGAGGCCAGGCCCTCGCCTTTATTTCCATATACTCATGCAACCTGGGTTCAAATATCCAGTTACCCAATACCCAATATTCAAAATTCGTGGTTGCATTGTCAAAGCGATCAGTGTAGCACGGAGTGTCGTTGAGTCAATTCAGTTGTTGCATATCAGACATCTATTAACAAATTTAATCAAGGCGCTCGGATCATTTGCGGGATGTTGCTCTCAGATCAGGCATCGGCAACAGATCCTTGGCTGTCTGCTGACAGGACAGTCGGATTAGTAACAGTTTTCAGACTAAACAAGTTAGGGCGAGGCTTGGGGTGGCTATAGGGGAGGTTGGAGGCCACTGCAGAGTATAAGCTCAAATATTATCAGTATACATGATAAGTGTAGCATGTGTAAAGGACACATCAGGAGTATGTAAAATGTAATTGAACTAGATAATCACCATTCCAAGTGTGTTAAGACAATTCAGCGACAGTGCATGAGTGGGTGGATAGTAACACAAATGAAATAATTGAACCACCAAAACTTCTATAACCATATCATAAGGCCAAAACGACCATATCTCGAAAAGGGATTGATAGAGGATGAGAAAGAAGGGATAGAAATATAACACCGATAAATTATAACGATCTTTGGATGGTGGTGGTCAAGATCGATATAAATCGATTAAGGTATTAAGCATTCCTATTTGATGAAAATATATTTTATAAATATTTGTTTATTTCTATTATTTATGTTTGACTTCAGAAATTATAAAAGTTACATGTTTCCTTCATATAATCTGGAATCTGATATATTGGAGTGGAGAGAAGAAGCCCATAAAGTATCATGATCCAGAACATATATGGTCCATGTATCACATGGTGAAAGAAATAACTGGAATCCTGTAGACTTCTTGGTAAATGTTTTTATTTATTTAAAATTTCTGTTGTGTTCTTCGCTTAATTTCACCTTTTGTTATTGTTATCTATCTGTTATTGATATCTATTTGTTATCTTTTTTTTATTAGTCACATCGGAGGTATATAACTTTTTTAAATAATTTATTAATGTTTACTTTTATAATTAATATTATTTGTTTTCGCCTTAGGAAACTGTGATGATTGTATATTTCCTCCACACAGTCTTTAAAAAGAAATAAAATATATAAAGATGTAATATATATAAGATAGCTTCTTAAACAATTTCAAGTATAAAAATTATGGTTGATTTTCATTTCCTTCCAGACTCCAGAAACATACGTGCTGATATCCAACGGCATAACGAAGCTTAAAGGTGTATTGAGCTTTAAGTTTGAGAATAACCTCTTCGATATGAAAAAGCAAATCGTAAATGTTAAATGTAGAGATACTAACGCAAATGGTTTGGTCTAAACCACTTGAATTTGACTTTAATTTTGCTCTCGGCCTTGCTATTGACAGCTTATAGGCCAGAAGCCGTAACCATATAAATAGATAACGGCCATTACCATTAAATTGATTTGTAGGGGATGAACAAGAACGGTCAGAAATAAGCGAAAGTACTGTGCTTATCTTCCGTGTTTCGGTCCAATAAAATGTGAGCAAGCACGGGTGGCGTGGTGGTGAACAAATGTGTTCCGAATGTACTAAAGGTAATTCATACTAACTATGGTATTTTTTTATGCGAAAAGTTGCCAATCGAACAGACGGGTCACCTGATGCTAAGTGAATATCGCCGCCCACCCGACATCTGCTAGACCCGAGGGTTATAGATGCATTGACAAAAACAATTGGGCTCCGGCTACCTCACTCACCAGATGAAACGCGAAAGTATTTGTCATAATTTCACTTAACGCCGGTCTTCTGTGAGGTCGTGGTACTTACCCGGACGGGCCTGCCCATTCGTGGAACAGCCGAGGCTGCTGCGTGGCCCAACCACCGTATTTTCTTACATATTACATTAATGTCTTTATATTTTTTATTATTATATTTGTTCGCATTTGGTGATGCTATTGATATTTTATCCAGAAAGAAGATTTGACGTAATAGACGGAGTCGATGGAGTTGATATTAGTCAAGACAGAAGATGCAACGGTCCCTTATGACGGGGTTGCAAAAGTCTGACCTCCATAACTTTTAACAACAAAAATGAATCTCTTAGTAAACCCACCATTTGAATATATGAAGGCAACTTGGTGGTGGATGAGAAAAGCACGATCGAAATACATTAGACTCAACGCGAGGGACACTGATCCTATCTGATGGCCAATTATACACCTTCTTGATGGCTAATAATTATTTTAACAATTATGGCTAAATCAGCCTATTGCATTGCAACAATTGGGTTGACATATGCGTTTTCCTCATGCGAGTGGTAGCTGGCGGAAGAAGAAGGCGGTAGGTCTCAAGGCTTCGGGCGAAAGCCGCTCAATGTGATAACTATACCCTTGGTGCGAGCAGTGGACTTACAACACGCTCTGCGGCAGAATAGTCGTGCTGACCTTGCAATTGGTGGTGATGCAAAAACGAACTCTAACATAATGTCTACAGCCGTGGCAATCTGGCAAAGTGATGGCGCTGACGGAGAGCTTATTTAAGGGCCAGAGTGCCAGACCATTCCAACATTTCCAATTGACATTTCCAACTTATGCAAAAACCGTACGACATACATTCACTGAAGCTGGATTTGTCATCGGCTTCTGTGACGTGTACACGCATTAACATGCGCGAATTAATATCAAGGCGTCCGCACTACCAAGGGGCCAAGCCCTCTTTATGCTAGTTTGTAACGGACTGAGGTCCTTTTACCCAACTTTACGGCCCTCTTCGGGGGGGGCGCGTGGATTGGTTGGCGCTCACCGCACACGGCGTTGGTAAATGTTTTCGTGGAGCCGTGTGCCTTCCCTAATTTAAAAAAAAATGTTGGGGAGGCGAGTATCTTGTATCGGGTATTATGGAAATATATTGTGAGCCCTTTACAGGAAATAAAGAATTTATTAATCATGCACCGACCAGGCATGGTCCTGCCTAATATGACTATCACCTTAATATAATTATAAGGGAAAGATCCTAAGGAAAGATAATCATTATTTTATCGTAGTCACGAAAATGTTTTTATATGACTTATATATTTAACGGCATTATTAGGGGAGGAGGGTTAAGACATTATGTGTAAAGTACTTGGAATTTCAGTTACCTTCGCTTAAGATGTTACTCTTATATTGATGAATTTGCAAATCTATTTCAAACTTTTCATTTTAAAAATTGATTTTTAATTTCTTGCAAGTAATTAATATCTAATCCTATGTTCAAAATTAAAGAAAAGTGAAATAGTTTTATTGTTTTATGTCAAATCGTTCTGATGTTGATTATGTATCATCTTGCATGAGATGTTTTGAAGAGTTAACGAAATATTGAGCAGTTTATTTTTGTGATAGACAAGATGTAATACGAAAATAAATGCCCAATCCACGTGGGTATAGTCCCCAACTAACCGAATGCTTGCCGCCAGTTTGTTAACGTATAAATAAAAAATGGACACCCAAACAGGGATGTTGTTTATACATATATTTGTGTGCAAGTATGTATGTGAATAAGGTGAACTATAACTGTCTTATTCATAATAAAACGCTTATCGAAGGTATAAATCTATATTAGTTAAAACGTCTTTTAAGCTTATCAAAACTTCGATAAAAATCTTTATTCATAATCGTTTGATAAACCTCCGATAACTAAAATGTCTTTATTGAACATAATGTTGCAATTTCGTAGAAAAATAGTGAAATTTGAATGATAATAGAACGGAAAAAAAAATGGTATCTTGATTTGTGTCAAACATATTGATCGTGATTCGTGTCAACTTTTCTGTTATTAAACCTTAAGGCCTTAACAAAATAAATAAATTATTGTAATGTTAAAATGAACATGAATGCTAAAAAGGCAGAGTAGTGAAAATTGGCTAGAGAAAGATTAGGTTGGTGTTACAATTTTGTTATACTCACAGGTCTAGATCTTAGCAATGTAATTTTTGTGCATGCATTACCTAGTAAAATTGTTTTTTGCTTTCGAAGATTATCTTGAAAGATTTATTTGGTAAAGGAGTGAGTTCTTGTTATCTAAAACCGACGAAAAAAACACCGACACGATCTCCAATGCAACGAAGGTGGCGGCGTGGAATGATTTAAAAGAAGTCATTACAAACGTCAGTAATCAGGTCACCAAAATCGTCCAAGTTTTTCACTAATATAAGTTTATCGAAGGCTATAGTAGGGTCCTAGCTTGTCTATATCAAAGACACTTTATCGGAGAGTTTTAGAACGTTTTAGTGTTATAGAACTATAACGAATAATAAGACTTTTTGAGAATCTGTTTTAAACGGGCTTTTAAACATCCGATAAGTTATTATGAATAAGATCGTAAGTCTTTTGTGGTAAACTTACATTGTGTTCCCCTAAGGGTTTACCTAATGTTTATTTTGATACAAAAATATGTGTTTTGATGTTCTCATTTCCACAAAAGTATAATCCACGAAATGATTGTCATGATGTAACTAGATACGTATTCGGCCGTCGGGTAGGAGTTTTTAAAGGGCGATTTTGTCCTTTAAAGTATTTAATAGCCAAGAAATACAAAGTATACTTAAAATTAACTTATTCGAAATGAAACGACCTCCCGCTACGGCGATTGAGCGATATCAGTTGGTCGATACAGGTTTGATTGTCCCACGATACCTGAATTTACACCGTCGGCACTTTCACGGGAATAACGAACAATGCATCGCATAATTCATGTGAACTTTCGTAATCACTGGGCACTTCGCTGTAGGTCGTATTTCAGTATATGTGTACGGGGTACTTAGGTATATGTGAATATGCATAGGTAACAAACTTAATAATATTTATTTCTTCTGGGCTTTGTTTAGTTTCAAGACATTTCTATTATTTGCTTTAGCTGTTTCGAGTGTACATTGAAAAATAATATTTGTCTAAAACCCTACAAGGCTGCAGTTTTCAAAAACTTATATATTTTGCAACGTTATGTGACAATCAATTTGAAATATTTTCATCTTTGTGCATTACTTTTTTAATAAAACAAATAAATATAAGAAAGGAACTTCGTTCCAATAGACATAAGACACCTCTCTATGTTTAGTATATGCTGTTTAATGTATTTTATTTTAATTTTCATGAAATATTGTGCGTGTATAAAGACAGCAAGAATTGCGTGCAATTATTGAAGAGGCTTATTTTTATAATTACCTTTATAAGCCAGGACAGAAAGATATGATACTAATAATGAATGTTTTGGTGTTCGTGTTAGATACGGCGTACGATACTTTATTATTCAAAGCTCAGGCGTATGATACTTTAAATAGGTTAGGTTACATTTCACGATATTTGTAATAAGGAATGGAAGTTCCTTATTACAAATATCGCATCATGATTGGAAACTGGATTGGTCTTACCTATGCGCTGTCCAGTCATGGCAAACAACTGCCAATGTTCCTTACCTGTTATTCCCGTAGTTCCCTTATCCATTATACTCCCTCCTTTCCTCTATCCTATTGTCCTTTCTCTCCGGTGGAGTAAACCACCTATCCAAATCCCCAAGCCCGGGTTTCATCCGACCCGTGCCCTTGGCTGCATGGCTGAGGGGGTGCTCAGTCGTGAACGGAGGGGCCCTGATACCAGGCGACCTCAGGGTTATCCTAGCCCGACCCTCGCACGCGGGGCTCTGCGGGGGCCGATTTCTTTTCCCTAGCTACTCGTGGGAACAAAATGGAGCTTGATGACATGTTGCAAGAATTATCGCAACTTACTGCGAGTGAGCACTTGGTGCCAGTCGCGGAGATGGACGTGGGTGATGTGGAGTCCAGCGTCCATCTTAGTACTGATGGAGTTGTTAGCAAGGCTAACCAGGTGGATGAGGGGTCAGTTAATGCCCCTGATGACCTACCTACCGACACCGGCACAAAGCTGAGCCGGCCATTTGGCAAAAAGAGAATGACTGGAGCTGCCAGACGTCGGTTTAACTTTTGGGTGGAACAAGGTTTCAGCAGGGAAGATGCCACACAAAGATGCCGCCTTCCTCTTGCGCAATTCCCCGAGTTCATGGAGCTCGGTGTTGCCGTGACTGAGGGAACTAAGAAGACCAGCAAGAGACCGAGTTCCGAGGAAGCCTCACCTGAGGAGCAGCCGCGGAAGACTGGCAGGCTAACCGTACCTACGAGAACGGAACCCTGCTATGCTGATGTGGTCTGCTGCTTTCGGGTCGGGATTACGGATGCCAATCGTGCCATAGTTCCTGGGGATGGCCTTCTCTTTGAGCAGGCTGTTCTCCGGGCTGTGGATAGGGAGACCAGTGGAGGTCCCCGCATCAAGGGTTGGACTATCCGCGCAGGAGTGATTATCCTCACCTGCGAGAACAGTGCAACCCGGGACTGGCTGGTAGCCCGTCTTGATGACCTGAAGCCCTGGCACGGGGCGGTGCTAAGGCTGGTGGACGAAAAGGACCTGCCTAAGTCCGTGATGGTCGTGGCGTGGATCCCTGATACCAACGTCGATGGGAAGACGCTGCTGCATCGACTGCAAGTGCAGAACGAGGAGGTGGGCTGTAACCGATGGAGGGTGGTCAACGTCAAGACTGACGGCAATGGGCAGACATACTGCTTCGCTCTAGACAGCTTGGCGTTGCCCAACCTACTCAAAAGAGGTTGCGCTCTATACCTCGGCTGTAGGTTGATCCAATTCAGGGTTAAAGGGCTTAAGACTGGGTCAGTGAGGGAAGGAAGTGCAGGGGCCTCTGGGATGGAGACTGACCTCGAGGGTTGCTCGGAGCCCCCGGTGGTTGCATCTGCCTTAGCGGTGTCAAGGCCCTCCTCTTCTCAGCCTGGGATGCGGAGAGCTGCACTTGGTGCCTCTGTCGCTATCACTGCCGGTGCAGACAAGGAACCCGTTCCTGGACCATCGAGCGAACCCGTTCCTGGACCTTCGTACGAACCCGTGCCAGGACCATCGTGCGAACCTGTTCCTAGACCATCGTGGGAGCCTGTGCCAGGACCATCATGGGAACCTGTTCCTAGACCGTCGTGGGAACCTATGCCTGGACCTTCACGGGAGCCCTCATCTGGAAACCCGTTTGGGCCCAGGCAGAGGACAGGAATTTCCACGGGAGGTAAGGGCTGCTTCACCGCTAACTATTTAGAGGCGCATCCTGCAGGAACCCGCACAAAGGCCCCTGTGTCCTCTAGGAGACGGGGTCTTGCTCGGAGTATGGTAAGGGGTAGGTCAGTTCAACTGGTTTCCCTGTCCAGCGAGCATTCGAGCAGGAAAGCGGAAAAAAATCCTTAACCAAATTCCCTACCTCCCACTACCGAAACCCTAAATCAATCCTCAATCCTCATCCCCAATATACCTTCCCCACCTTATACATATATACTTTTCTCCCCTTTTTTTCCTTATATTTCATTTCTTTATATTCTGCTCAAAGCTGTTCAATTCAACCTTCATCAATCGAAAGCCTAGCCCAGTGCGACAACTAACTTTGACACGCGGCTTTGATCCTAGAACCGTGGTTTATCCACGGTTAACAGCAGTTCTTGGGCTAGATGCGACAGGTAAGCTTTTGTATAATACCTGAGGTGCCAGTCCCAGAGCTTGTATGGTTTTCAAAGTCAAGGCAGGAGAGTGATCGTCTGTTCTGAAGGGTTCGGAGATCTCCCAGATCCTACACCACAGCTAACCATCCCAGTGGAGTTATGAAAACTAACAGACAGACCTGCTCCTGGGGTGTGATTCTAGCTCGCACCACACTCACTACAAAGGGTAGCATGGACACCAATGCACGGGGTGAGTTACTTTTTGATTGTATTCAAGTTTCCGTCATGTCGGGCATCAACCTATCCTAGGCCGGTAGACCTGCTTTGGCGCGGATCGGCTGGCTTTTGTTGGGTGAGAATCCCTAGTTATCAGCCAAATATGCAGCTGAGGAACTTAACCTACACTGTTCAAGTATACTACACATTAGGGCGTTTACGAGGCACTGCAAATTAAACAGGCACCGGAACAGAATAGGACTATCGGAGGCCCATTTTGTTATGCGGTGATGACAATACCGCTTCAAATAATTTGCGAATGCGATGCCCTGGTTAACTTTGGAGTCGGGAACTGGAAGGGCTGAAGTTGGCTACCAAAGAAAGCTTCTTGGTCCCTCATCAACTGTCAACTTCGTTAGGGTGGTTGGTTTTGAGTAGACTACCTAGCTAGAAAACATTGACTACAATAGACCTTATAAGTTGCACTGGACATTGAGACTTATGACTCAACTCCTTCCACAAAAATATTAATCATAATCTTGTACAATAATCTGTTTTATACCTACTTCACGAATACGATTAATTCTAAAATCTTTATAATAGATATTCTTTTCTATTTCCAGCTCCGTGAATATTTCACGACGAAACCTACTTCGCACCCTTAAAACACCTCATTTGAGCTGTTTAAAATCTATAAACATCGCTGTGTATAAGGCGATGCATCAACCAATTTGAAAACAAAAATAAGCAAATGATAAATTGAGAAAATAAAAGTAAAGACGACTGTTTGGTGTACAAGAACGGTCTACCAAAATCCGTGTTGTCTGGTTAATATTATAGCCATTTAAACCAAGATCTGTTGACATCCATTCTTATTACATGTTTTGTTAAATTGGTTCAGCTTTGCCTAAAGATTTTGCAAACTTCTCTTTGGTTAAAACATAGTTTGGTTTCTATTTTCTTCTAGCGTTTTATTTGTGTTTTAACCACCATTTATTATGTAGTAAAAATTATATACGTTAATCAAACGATTAAAGCACATAACTTTTGTGAAAATATATATTAAGATATGTAATCTCACTTGTTCTTTATGTTATAATCCCGCTATGTACTTTCCTCAATTTCTGAGTAATATAACTTGTCATTTAACTCTAAGAAATGTAAAAAAGATAAATTATAACGTTTAAATTTGCCAATAACTCTAAGTTAAATAACTCTGTAAATCACCACGTACTTCTTGCAAACGTTAGTTTTAAACATTTGAAAAACATTTTCAACAGTACCATATATTATATAATCAAAATATAACATTTGGCGATGTAATATTTAGTTACTTAAAAATATAAATTTCTAAAGAACGGTTAATCAGAGACGAAATAAAAATGAAGAGCTGTGTTATTATGATCGCTTTTAAAATGGGAATCGTCAATTTCCCGATGTTTCCAGTGTAATAGTTTAAACGCCCAATTTTATACTAGTAACACAACTGACACTATCAATATATTGTAACACATAACATTTATAAGCTCTTGAAAATCTGTTAAAACAAAACAATAGAAGTTTATTGAAATTATTATATTTTTGTGTGAAAATTGTAACTGTTAATTTATTCTGTACTTATTTATTTTTCCAAGTGTGTATATTCTTTATTGCTTTTACAATTTTGTAAAAATGTTGATATTGATATTCATGAAGTACTGTACTTTACTTCTGTTTTTTTCATAAATTGTGTAGATTTTAATCAGTTTATTAATAAATAAAAGTAAGTTTAAAACGATGTTTCCTGACATATTTTGTAATCTATTATTCCTACTATTCCTACTTAATTCATAAAAAACTTATTTGTATAAGTTGAAGTAGCAGTAAAAGACAAGAGTTAGGACAAACCGTAAAAAAAAAAAGGCATAAAAATTATGGGATTAGGGTATGCTAATATGAGTTAAGAAAAAAATATGAAATGCATTTGTACCGTTTTCATACAAGTTAATTAAATAATGTTTTAACCAACCATTCTTTTACTGTGTCAAGCTAAATGATAAACTCTAGAACCAGCTAAAAATTCACAATAAAATTCTAGTAGTAATGAAAATATGAAGGCGACAACGTAATAAAAACTTCATACCGTACGTAGTATGGAAGTAATGTGCCCAAATTACTTGATAGTAAAGCGGGAAGCCAATAACGTAATTCTAAATAAGACGCCTAAAATACTCGCACGGTCACACTTTCTCCCTGATCTCTCTCATCATTCGATCATGACGCACCAAAGGTATATTTTTGACCAAAGACTGTTTTTGTCGATTTACTTTAAGTAGAAAATTTTCGTTGGAGCAGATAGACAGCAGTTTAAGATTTACATAAATTATTATTACTATGGTGGGGATATTTATTTGCTTTCTCGTCTGGTTGGGTTTATAAAAAACATATAGAAATATATTGTATAATAAATATAGATATTGTAAATACATACATAAATAAGACCTCGGCAGGGGAGACCAAACGGCCGAGGGTTAGGGTGAAAGGGAGAGAAACCGGCGGACGATGCGGGCGGTATCGAGGAGAACCGCCTTCTTCATTTGAGCTTGGAGCGATCCGTGAGTCCCAGTCGCCTCAGATGATTACTACTATTATACTTACTTTTATTATTACTCGTACTTAAATTATTTACGCTATGCACGGGAGAAAGAAAGGCAGATAGAGCGACCCCTGAAATTTTCCTTACACCACTACTGCCAACACGACTTGTTAATGTAACTTGAGACCAGTTTGATTCATTATCTAAAAGATATATAGAATTTTTTCTAGATTTGTTTAATGATGAAAATCAATTTTGTTCAAAATGTGCCCGTATTTTCAAACTGGGCTCGAAATAAAAAGGTGGACCGGACCGCCTAAAAGGTAAAGTAAATCTGTCCGGACTACGTTAATGCCTCGCAGAAACTTTCATTTCTTAAATATTTAAATGAAGACAGATATCTTTAAATTTCCTAATAATTTTGATAAGAGCACTTTGTACTTAATCAACTTTACCCAACAAACCATCACCTAGATACCAGACATTAAATTTTAAATAATTGTATGGATCTCTAAACTAAATAATGCTGGTAATAGTGAATTTTCCTGATGAACGCTAACGGCTGAATTTACAATATTTTCTTCATAAAATAAATTATTCTTATCACTGTAACATAGCCAAACATAAAAATTTTGCAGCGTGGTTAGCCACTGCATCCAACACAGTCGTTTTACCAATTTATTTAAATGCATTGCTTAGGTCAACCTTCAGAAGTTCATAAGACGCCTGGTAGTTAAAAAAGTTCCAACGGAATGTACAGCCGGTTCATAGCCTTTCCAAAGCCTAGTAAAATATGCTGGAGTTTCGTTTTAAGGCCGGAGATTATTTGCCTACATGCTAATTTTGAAGTTAAGCGTCAAAAGGTAGAACCAATAGTTATAACACTTATACCATTATCTTTTTTCTTGAAGACACATAATCTTACCCCATACAAAAATGGAACAAATTTTGAATTTACCTTTTCCGAAAGTATTAAGTTGTAATTTTATAATTTCACTAAGAAGCGCACTGCCACCAGTACCATCGAAGGAAGCTTTTGGCGGAGATTTCCTAGTCTCACTAGTATAAGGAGCAAGGATGTCATCTGAAAATAAAATTTTTAAATCAACACCCATTATATTAGACTCACCAGTTGTCCATAAAGCAAATTTAGGGGAGGTTTGGAGTTATGGATGGGTAGTCGTAAACTCAAAATTTCAGAAAACATTGCTTTTTGATTGGGAAGTGATTAATTGTGAATCTTATTTACCATAGTGAAAATGGGAATATGCAAATGCAATTAAATTATACAAAGTTAACTAGGTATTTGAGAAACTATTTTTAACAACTGTGTGAAAAATAGCCACACCAAAGTTTGCTGTTGCACGAGTGATCAGGTCCATCCGGGGAAGTAAGCGACCTCGCATAAGATCGGCGTGAAGTTTTACACTTATACTTTACGTCTGGTGAGTGAGGAAGCCGGAGACCACTTTATTAAAGGCCAACGCATGTGCCACCCTTCGAGTGTTGTAAATGTCCATGGGCGACGTATATCCCTTAACATGAAATGAACCGACAGCTCGCATCTTTTTACATAGAAAAAAGGAATAGTTCATTGAGTTCGATAATGACTTACTCTCTGGAATCCTTGAGTATCAAACCAATCAATCCAATGTACCAAACATTGCTATGGTAATAATGTATCTGTAACAACCGAAAATAACTTTTTTATAATTATTATTGCTAAAAATCATTATAATTTGCTTATAGGTACTAAAAATTACGGTAGAATCTACCACCAGGGTGGCTACGACAATGTTTAATATCAATATTTAAGTTCCTATTGCCTTTAAAAAGCCTAACCATCGGCGTCGGTTTATTTTGGACATTGTAGGAAATCTGGCTGAGAGCATAATTATAGGAACATCGATATTTATGAGATTGTAAATCACCCTTGTAATTAAGGGCGTACTAAAAGG